CAGCTCCCCCCCCCCCTGCCCCTCAACACACAAGGCAATTGGAACGAAACCTTCAGGATCTTGGGTGTTCAGCTGACTTCCCCATCTCTTTTATTCTCCATTGGGGCAAGGCTTATGTGAAACCCCTCGGTTTAGAATTGGGAGATTAAAGAAGAGAGATCAATTCATCTTCTCATAGTTATCTAAACCTAACTGGCTGCTTTCTTTTTGAAAACGGTCACTATCCATCGAGAAGCTGAAGTCCCTTCTGGCTCCTCTGCTTCTCGCACAGCAGGCCAGGCTCTCTCTTCCCTTTGAGGCTCTGCAAGCTCTTTGGAGGCCCCACACCCTCGTCTCCCACCCACCGACTCACGCAGAGAGGCCCCGGGAGCCCCTTAGTTCCCCTTCCTGGGCTGGTTTCAGGCTAGCCCCGCCCCTCTCGCCTGTCACTTTCCCTCGTTTCTGGAGGGGCCCAACAGCAGAGCACAGGAGGCAAAGGTAAAGCCTTCCCGGGGAGGTCAGCCAGATGCCACTCTGAGACAGCTGCTCAGCTCCACCTGGTGGGCAAGCAGCCTTCCCCTGGGCTGAGCAAGGAGCCGCTTGCTAGCATTTGACTTGCATAGCTTCTTGGTGGGCAGCAGGTGGCAGTGCCCGTATCTATGCGAAAGAATGCCGTATTATTGAGTCATGATTGAATCTGAAGAACTGCGGAAGGCAAAAGGCTGGAGGGGACCTTGGAGAACGTTTTGCAAAGAGGCCGATTCCTGAACCTCCCGGTGTTCCTCTCAGTCTGTGCACAACAGGGTTGGTCCAACTACAGATCAACAACTGGCTGGAAGTGAGTTTCTGCCTGCCTCATAAAATCCATGATGTGGCATCCAGTTTCATCCCTCCGGAAGCCATTGAAAGAAGCTTGAAGGCCATTCGGTGAGACATTGATTATTTATATGCAATTTGGTTTAGAATCGTTTCTCTCCGTCAGTCAGGCCCCTTGGGATATAGAGGAGGCTAAGCCTGCCTGGGAGCTGAAAATGTGTCTCTGTGGGTGAGGAGGTTCGGAGCTCTGAAAGATGAATAGTTGGAAGCAGGACCTGAGAATTCGTGGCCTCCTCGTCTGCCCCTTCTCTCTCCATGATCCTCTCAGACAAATCTTTAGGAAGCATTTCGTTCTTCGATCACAAGCTCCTTAGTTGCGCCTGCATCATCCCAGTACACTTACTTATGGCGGTGCTCAGAATGTTTTCACGTCATGCATCTCACACGCTTAGTCTGAACCCCAGTCTTGTTGCCTCGTCTACCAATACTTAGCTACTCATTCACCAAACTCACACCCAGGATTTCTGCCAAACAGGATTGTATGATGTTCACCCTGTGCGGTATAAGGGAGGGTCTCAGTCTAGTTCACCTGAAGAACTGTTTTTTATTTATTTATTCATTTATTGGTATATCTATTTATTTATAAACTGTACGGGCCTCCCATCTTACTCCTGAAGGTATTGTGATTTTTCATAAATCCCATGAAAATCACTTTTCTCACAATACACATTCAGTTGCTCTGGTTTTTGAGGAATCAGTCACCACTTCTGTCCCACCAAGGTTTTTGCACCTGTCTTAAGTCTTGTGAAATAGAGAAACTGTACAAAATAATCCAGCAGCTGCTGCTTTTCCCCAGCCACTATAGGTTATCCTAACGCGCCCCCCCTCCCTGCGGACGACGGCTACGAGAAACATAGCCCTGGAGGCTTGGGACGGGCAGCGGCATATCT